CACGTTTAGAGCTGAAGCATTTGTAGATGTGAAGAAAATGAGGGGTGATGTTGGAAGAGTTGGATCAAGAGTAAAAGCAGCATGAACTCTTCTTCTCCAGGATTATCCAGGATGGAAGGACGCACTCGGGTGTTTCCTAGGCATGGAGGGGATTACGTTCCCATGCAAAGTGGACACAATTATAGGTAGTGGGTGTGGTGTATTCAAACACTCAACAGCCAGTTTGTCACACGCCTGCATCAACTGAATGGTTTTGTTTCTGCCTCCTAAACATCATCATCACATTTCCTCATTTCTTGGCTTTTTAAATGTTTTTGTCCATTAGTTAAATTTAATTCTCACAGTTCTTTATCCACTTCCTGTCTCAAAGGCTGTCTGTTCTCAACTCAGGCAGAATTTGTAAAAGAGCACCATCTGGTGGTCTAAATATTTTAAAATGATACATTTCTTCAGTACCAGTATTCTTTGCTGCTATTACTTTTTCTCATGATTTTCCTTAAAGATTCAAAACTAAAGGGAAAATAAAAAACTTAAAGCCACAGTGCTGAGTATAGCATGAACTACTGGTTTAGATCCAAAGGAAATGCAACGTATGAAACTTGTGAGCTGACAACTCATAGAGCTGTTATTCTAACTTAAATTTTACAGTTTTATACCTCTTTATACCTTGAAATCCTCTTAACACAATTAGTCACCCAGTCTCTGGCCAGTTTGAACTGAGGGCTCAGCAACGGTGGTGCAGCTGCACAGTGTTTGTAAAGAGAAAACCAAACAAAACTCAAAGTAGGTGTGGATTAATTTCACTGTGAATCATCAAGTCCAGGAAATCTGGAAGGTTCTGCTGCTGAGACATGTCCAGACTTTTGTGGCAAGCCGTTTTAACATGTAATCAACAATTGGACGTCTCAATTAATTCCTATTATGTATAGAAATATTATCGTATATCCTAGTACCAAACGTATTCTTACTAGTCAAAATTACAAATGAAGATAACAGCTATTTGTTACTAGAAGATATTATAACTGAGGATAATCATAATAACTACACAAGTAGGAAGTAAGTTTGAGATATCTCAAACTTCCTAAAAACCTAAGGTGGCCATTTTAAACAGGCAGTGTGTATTTTACCTAGCAATAGGGGGCAGTACATACCTAAATCATTGCAAGTAAGCATTATTTTTGTGTTCAAATAAGATCTTACCAATGGATGGCCATGAGGGTAAAAAATCCCTGGGAGTGCAACCTCCAGCAAAATGAAAAGCACATCAGATTCCCTTTCATCACTGGCAACGAGTGAAGAGGTAAATGTGTAAAACAACAATGTTTATTATTAGTGTTTTTAACCATTTGTTACAAATCAGTAAATGTGTTTTGTTCTCATGGTCTTCCGTAGAAGGATACATGGCATCAAAATTGGCGCCGCCCAGAGACTTAGGCCCAATCTCAATACTTGCACTGCGCCCTGGGGTCTTCAGGAAAGTGTACTTGGAGAAAGTGCACAGTAGGGTTTGAGTGCATAGTACACAAGTGTGTAAATAATTGCAAAAACAAATGTCAGGATGCTGGTCGCTGTGAAACTTTTTAAAAAAAACCTTTATGAACAACTTTCAAACAAACAATAAAGCAATTATTTGAAATACATTTAACTTCATTGCTGCTTTGTCTAAAACATTTGTCAATTAAATGCTGAAAAAAATAAACAATACATTAATGAGGCAAGAACTTTTTAAACTTGAACATACCTACACCCACAAGTCTGTTTTTACCTGGTTAAAACCATCTAGCTTATGTGCACTTTTTAAAACACTGCCCAGCAAACATTCGGACGTTTAATGACAGTTGAATGGTCACAACTGTAAAATAATATCACAGGAATTAGGAAAGAATAATATGACATCAACTCTATGTTACTTGGCCAGACTCGAACCTGGATCTTCCAGAGTGAGAGTCACCCGCTCTCCCAGCTGAGCTATGACAGCAACTGCTGAATCTCAGATTTTTTTATATAGATAGGTAGAGAGTAAAATGCGGGGTAAACTAACCAATCAGAGGACAGGGAAGATCTGCCACAGGCCACGCCTCCAGAGTGCCAAAACTCCTCACAGCCGAGCGAGCGGAATTAGAAACCGAGCGCGCAGAGGCTGCAGCGCGCGCACGTTTTCCTCTGCCGTGTGCTCGTTGGCAACGCGCGCACGCAGGTTTGTCACTTGTGCACATCCTTGTGCGCTCACAGACACAGTTTGCTCCCTCTCAGTGCACAAATGACCTCTCGCCATGTATATTTTCGCTCGCGAGTCCCGTTCACACGCGCGCTGTGGACCCAATGCGCGTGCACGGGTTGTGGCACGCTTTAAACGCCATAGAATCGAGACACCCTACGCACTCGCACGCCTGGCCGGGAATGCGCAAATGAAGGGTGTAAGGGTGCAAGTGTGAGTATTGAGATTGGGCCTTAGACCCGCTCCCATGTATTGTAGAACCGATTTTTATGGTTATATGTTATGAAACTCCCAATATTTTTCAACAACTGGGCATTTTTAAATTAATTTCCAACATTTTGATGGCTATTTCCTGAGATCAACGGTAAAAACTACACATAGTATCTTTAACATGTTTTAAGCAGACTGGATATGCGTTCTAAATATTTAGAATTCTATTGTTCCTAGTATAAATTAACATTCCAGATATCCACAATAGCATACCTACGATCAGCAGTAGTTCAGGAGGTAGAGCGGGTTGTCCAGTAATCGGAAGGTTGCAGGTTTGATTCCTGGCTCTGACCAGAGAATGCTGCTGTTGTGTCCTTGGGCAGGCCTCGGCTCTGTCAGTGGACCCTAGGGCAGCTGTAGCTATAACTCATCCTCATGAGCGTGTGAATGGGTGGATGACCGATTGTGTTGTGAAGCACCTTGGGGGTTGTAAACCCTAAGAAGGTACTATACAAACACAGGCCGTTTACCATTCAGAATGAACATTGCGGATATCTGAAACATAATTCTTCCTATGACAACTGACATCACATTTCCCATTCATGTGTATTGGGTTGATAGCGCTGCCCATTCACAAATACATTCTTCCTGTCAAGAATGAACACGGAGGATATATATATATATATTTGAGTGTTGAGTGTAATATATATATATATATATATATATATATATATATATATATATATATATATATATATATATATATATATATATATATATTTGAGTGTTGAGTGTAATATATATATATATATATATATATATATATATATATATATATATATATATATATACACTCAACAGTGATAGTAATACATATCAGATATTGGTATTGGCCCAAAAAACTAATATCGGTGCATCCCTATTTATAACGGCTTGCCACAGTGACTTGGGATTTTTTCTGAGATAACTGTATATGTTGACTTTGTTTTATTAAATAAATGAATATATATTTTCTTGTGTTTATTTCTCATCGCATAGTAAAAAGTTTGTATTTTTCTATTATTTTGAATACAATTTAAGATGTAGATCTGCTTATGTCGTGTAAAAAAAACTAACTGAATTAATTCTACAGATGACGTGAGCTCGCAGCCATTGCTGCAAAAATCAAGCTCAGTTTCTACCATGTGAAGTAAAACACAAAAACCTGTCAAGCCCTATAGAATACATGAAAACCTTTGTGCAACTTTCTTGACTGCTCAGATAAAAGGTGCACTAGCATGAAGGTTTTGAGGGTGGTAGTTTGATGACACATAATTCTTGCTTTTTTCCAGCATGATGATTCCTAATAACATTCTGCATTCATCATAATCACCGTGGAAAGTCCTGTCCTGCAGTGGAAATGTGTCACCTGCTGGAAACAATTCAACCCTCAGACAGAGGGAGGCCAGCCCAGTTGAGCTGCTGGAATCCAGTATGATGCAATAACGAGAAAGCAGCTTTCTGTTTTGGCTCCTCGGTTTTTCTTCTCAACACCAAATTAAGAGAGGTCGTCATAGCAGCATGTTTACCAGAACTGTGCATGTACCAAGGAATACGTCCTCCCAGGAGGCCGTGCTAACAGCTACGATATTACTCTAAAGGGTGCAGCTGAACGTTAACAACTCAAACCTGCAGCTTTGTTTAAAAAAAAAAAAACCTGAAATGTTCATTTTCTCCTCATACCTTTTTAGGTTGATGCTGATTATTTGTTGGCTTCATCGTGCTGCAGTGGGAATGTTTGTGTTGAGTCTCCAGGTAACGGTCATAACCGTTTGCTGACTGGAGCAGCCTGGAGAAATCTGACCAGTGTGTGGTGATGTCCACATCAGAGCCGGAGATGATAAACAGCTGAGACTAATGCAGACATTCGACACGAGTCTCAGAGCTGATTGCATCTTTCCTCGTGTCTTTAGCATTGCCAGACTAATATGGAAGACGTTGGCAGAGCGCAGTGTAAGAGTGTCTGATACGGTTCTCTAACACCTTTGAGGTTCAAATAAAAAAGGAATTAACACTAAAAGAATAATCGAAATTAAATAAAAAATGATTTTATGCTTATTAAAACCATTATGACATTTCAGTTAAGTGTTGCTGTTTAAGACATTTTAAGTGATTAAAAATGAAGCAGCTGGAGTTCTAATTGTAATTATTACCAGCCGAGTGTGATCCAGTTTCTTATATTTATCTACTTAACACCAGCACACGCACACATCCAGTCAGACACAGCTGGTCCAGACTTAAGGCTTTCCTATTGGCTCTCAGCACTGTCAGTCAATGGGACCACGTGCCAAAGGTCATGACCCCAGCTGACCTGGATTACCACAGGCTCCTGCAGCAATCTCCTGAGTGGCTAAATATAATTTGCACCTGAGACAGTTTCTCTAGTGAGGAGCTGTGGGTGACCTGCCATGACCCGGTCTGAGGCTGTCTGGATTAGAGCTCTCCACTCAAGCACACACAGGAACCCATTTCAGTGTCAATCAGCGTGGAAATAAGAAACCACTTTAAATTAAACCCATCACACAAATGCAAGTGAAGTAAAGCTCAGTCAGTTTATTGATTTATGGAAAATATTTCACATCTTAACATTTGTGAGATACTTTCAGCCCGTTGGTTTAATTCCAAACACCCGTCTCCAAAAACATCCCAAACGAAGCAGTATTAAAAATTTGCATAAATCATAAGATATCCCAGCTAACTTTGTTTTTTCTAAACTTTTGGATAAAAAAAAACAGATCACTGAAACCAACTGCACATCTACAACTTTGCTACACACCATCTCGCCCTCATCTGCTAGTACCCCTCAGAGCCCAAATTAAATACATCCACCCCCCCACGAGTAGTACTGGAGAATATACATGTATTCTGTTGAGTTGAACAACAAGCAGACTGAAGTTGGATCACTGGACTACAAATTGAAGAGCAGACACCAAGAAATACAGGAAATGTGTGAAACATATGCATCATGTAGCAGCAGTAATAGTGGCATTTGGTTTCTTTTTTAACATTTTTAAACATCTATGTGATTTACACCAAAGTGCAAACATGTTAGACTGCAAGTATTTTTATATTATAAGCAGGTTTATTATATTGGGATGAACTACGAGCCTTGCAAAAAAGGTTGCGTATTTAAAAGAGTATTATGGCACATTTCAAAACCAAAGAGAAAACATGTCACAGGTCATTTACTACTATAGGCAATGCAAACTTTACGATACACTAATATATAGAGATATATTTTGTAACCAAAGTTTGTTGTCAACACATTAATATATATGAACACATTTAAAAAGCATTACATCAATATTTTATATCATCATTTCTGAACAAATATATTAATTGCAGTCCTCAAGTGTGTTTTCACAATGATCATCCTGGAACAGAACATCACACAACTGTCTCCAATCAGCGCTGCGGGACACAGAAAAGCCCACAACTCAAAACACAACAAAATTACATCCCACGGGGAAAAAACCAGCCTCCAGCATGTTTCAGGGTCTCGCTCTTTTTCCGAACACTTCCAGGTTTGCTAACCTCCAGCCGAGCACCAATGAACACCCTACATCTCTACTAATTGCTCTTGCAATAATCAATAGTGACACAAATTTTACAGATATATAGCTATATGTTTATGTATATACCTCCAGTGTGTACACGATCTGACCACTACCTCGGATGGGTTTGGTCTCCTTGCTGTTACAAGAGACTGCCACAAAAAAGGTGCATGCAAGAAGAGTACTCAATTCGGGTTTTTTTTTTTTTCTGAGTCACTACAGATTAACATTTTTTTTTTTTGGTTGATAATCTGGACAGAATTAAAAAGCCAACTAACTTTCTTCTACAGATTATAGCCTGATTTCCTATCCGTTTGCCTCTTCAGTGTTACTCCTTCCTTTAAATTAATCAGGAGCTATAGGTGACTCAGCAGAATCTTGGTCTGAAGGAGGAGGACTTTGGCCCTTTTAAAGCTTGGTCCATTCACTTCTTTAGGGATTATTCTGTTGGTGTTTGCTAAACAGAGACCTCAGAAGTACTTGGATGTATTGAAGCACACATTCAACGGGTAAAAGATTTTAAGGGGGCAATTTATCGTTTCATGTTTGTTCCTTTTTTAGTTCTTAAAGACAGTAATTTTAGTAGGACAAGCAACACAGAGAAAAACGTCAGAGTTCTCTTCACTTGGCAGTCATCATCTGGACAAACTCTGGAAAGAAAAGAAAAGGATTAAATGACGAATACAACATAAAAAACAACCACTGGATGACAATAACAATTCTCACCCTCATAGTTGACCTGACCGTCGCCGTCAATGTCAGCCTCACGGATCATCTCATCCACTTCCTCGTCTGTCAGCTTCTCACCCAGGTTGGTCATGACGTGCCGTAGCTCGGCTGCGCTGATGTAGCCATTACCGTCCTGCACAAAAAGAAAAGGGAAAACATTTGTATCCATATTTGTACAAATTCCTGTTTATGGTATTACAACATAATAACCACTGAAGTTTGTCTTTTAAACAGACAAACCGCTACATTATTGCCACCAAATGGACTGGAGTGTAAATGGCAGACATCAAACCTCATACAGTATGTACCACCACTGTCCAGTTTCAGGTTTGTCAAGATTACGTTTAATACATTTTTGTAACTAATCAATATCTGTCAACTAAAACTAGCCACAGCAGCTAACTCAAGTTCTAAATAAACACCAGTTGTTACGACTAGGGTTGCAGGGTTCAACCAGTTTGGCTATTAACCTTGGTTAACCTACCGGAAAGACCTCTCCAACACCACCAATAAAAAACAAAAAGACAATGGCGCGACCCACATTGATAAGGACAAAAGTGAAACTGGTCACATGCACGCAATACATCTAAAATATTATCAAAGGAGACTTCAACAGCTTCTTAGGTAGAAATGGAGCAGTCCCAATGGTTGTTGTCACAGGTGCTCTTTCTGCTGCGTGTATGTTCATTTTCACTTTCACCTTTGTCGGTGAGGGTCGCGCAATTGTCTTTTTGCTTTTTATTGGTGGTGTTGGAGACATCTTTGAGGGGTTAACTGGGGATAATAGTCAAATCGGTTAGTCCCTGCAACCCTAGTTACGACCAGACTCTTGGGACCGTAACATAAGGAGGAGGTCTGGACGCATGGTGTGTCGTAACATATGGGGGCTCGTCCAGGATGAAACTGATCAGGGGAAGCCCCTTAGGGAGCACTCACCTGTGTGGCATGTTGGTGAGGCCTTTGGAGGCTGATTTTAAAATGAAAATACTATGAAACTCACACCATGTGTCTAGGCTTCCTCCTTAAGTTACGGTCCCATGAACTGGGTCATAACATATGGAGGCTCGTCAAACCCGGGATCTCTCATCTAATATGTTAGATTTGGCTATACCTATTGCACAAACGGTGTTTATTTAAACACACATACTGGTAAGAGACCAACAAAGAATTCCCAGTTTATATGAGTGCTAATAATTTATCTGCAGAACTCTTTGGTACCTTGTCAAAGACTCTGAAAGCTTCTCTGATCTCCTCCTCACTGTCTGTATCTTTCATCTTTCTGGCCATCATGGTTAGAAACTCAGGGAAGTCGATTGTACCGTTTCCTATAAATTCAAGCAGAAATAAGTTAGTAAAATTGTATCAATTTAGCAGCAATGTCATCTGCAAAGAATATGGATGCAACTTTGGTGACGCTTTTCTTTGAATTTATATAAAATAAATGGTACATCTACACTAACAATACATTTACCTGAAAAAATCTAACCTAAAAAAGGGCAAAAGGAAGGAAATAGAAAAATTGTAATTTGTTTCGGTTGCTCACCATCTGCATCCACCTCATTAATCATGTCCTGCAATTCAGCCTCGGTGGGGTTCTGTCCCAGAGAGCGCATCACAGTGCCAAGCTCCTTAGTAGTAATTGTACCATCACCATCCTTATCGAACAGTGAGAAAGCCTCTTTGAATTCTGCAAGTCAACAAAAAGGCAATTCCTTTTAGTCTTCCTTTTCAATAAACATTTACTTTTTAAAAACGTGAGAGAAATAAACAAAAATACCAAGCATCAACTTGATGTTTTTAATGGAAAATAATATTTAAAAATACTTGACTGGCTGTACGGATTTGCTCTGGTTCATACTAAACCAAATGCATTAAATGCTTTTAAGTAAAATGTCTCAAAATTTTTGATAATAAAACGTTACTTCCCCCTTTCTCAAAGTTTCAGCTCTGTTAACATTTTGGAAATAAAACCTGGAGAAGTGAATTTTTATTTAATATATATATATACATATATATATATATTTTTTTTTTTTTACTGTCGGCCTACAGCCAGAGTCATGCCTCAACCAGCAGCTAACCATCATTTTCAGCACCGGATTAACCTTTGTAACAGCTTAGTTTGTCAAATTTGGAGGTAAACTAATGTGCAGCTAAAGATAAAACAAACCAAACATGGTTACGGTATGCATGCACTTACCAGCAATCTGCTCCTCAGTCAGTTGATCGGCCTGTTAACAAAAGTACAAGACAACAATGAAACTCAGATCATCAGAAGAAACCCCTTTTCCAACCATCATCAAATGTTGAACAAACAATTTCATGGGTAGATGTGTCTGAAGAACAAGAAAATACAGGTGGTGTTTCCAAAAACGACACAGTAACATAAAAGGATTGTGTCTGCAGATTTCATTTGTGAAGGCGCTAAGCTTCAGGCTAAACTAATCATGGACAGCAGAATCACAAGAAGGCTGCTGAAAGGTGATACTTTAGTATTTGTTAAAAGGCAATAACCAGACCATCTGTCAAAGATCATTTCTGCATTAAAGGATCGAAATTCTTTAAGTCAACAAATAAAGGAGTCAAACCCCCAGCAGATCAAATGAAAATCACCTGCAGCAGGCGTACACAACCTGAACCAATCTCCCTATGCAAATATGCTCAAGACAAACTCATTCAAAACACACAGCAGCTGGACGGGCATTAACTGTGACCTTGTTAAAAGCTGTTCTTCCAAGATCCAAAGCTCTTAAACTTATCTAACTATTATACAACTTCTGTTTAATTTAGTTCGTTTCAATAGCACCAGTTCACCACAAACCCCATTTCTATCAGGTCCAGATTTCAAACCATTGTTTGCAATAAGGTCAACTCAGTTGTAATGAAATTAGACCCATTGCCATTTAGTTTGTCCCTAAAGGAACCAGCAGATCCGATTAAATCTTCACTTCAATGCAATCCCACATTCTGAGCAAGCACAGTAAAGGGTCACGGTGGACAGGAAAACTCCCCTTTAGCAGGATGAACGGGCCGGGCGGCCTTCTGCCATCAATGACTGAAGACAGACAATAGACAAAAACAAACAAGCATGGAAGGGCTGGGCTAATCATTATATCTATTGAAGATAAACAACGTAAACAGTTAGTTGATGGAAGTAATGTCAGCAAATAGAACATGGGGAGTACAGAGAGGAAGGACAACAGAATGAGGATGTGTGATCAGCATGTCCTCCAGCAGTCTAAATCTGGTTCCACAGAAGTGTCTCAATTACTGTAACCAGCTAGAACTTCCATTTTAATCTTTAAAAACTACAGTTTTACACACTAGATCAGTGGTTCTCAATCCTGGTCCTGGAGGGCTGGTATCCAGCATGTTTTAGTTGTTTCTCTGCTCCAACACACTTGATTCAGTGGTTGATTCACCTGTGCAGCAGCCATCAGGTGTTGAAACAAAACGCAGCAAAAACACACAGTGCATTTTGAATCCTTTATTAGTAAGGATGTAAAGTCTTAGCAGGCCTATCTAAGTAAGACAACATGCCCACTTTAGGCTGCGAAGAAAGTGTGATGAGGGATGGGTATAAATTCTCCACAGCCTGAAATACACATGCCTGCTATAATTAGTGAGACACGAACAGGGTCGCCAATGTAGCACACTGAATATTACAGCAACTAACTACCTCTTTGTATTCATTTTACCGAACAAATATTTGGCTCGGTTCAGAAACTGCTGGACAACTGTTAGGCGGGGCTCGCTGCGTTTCTGTCGTTATGTAGTCCTTCATACTGCCAGGGTAAATGTGCAATAAATAAAACAAATCCCTACAGGCTGACCAATCCTGGCTCAGTGGTGAGAATAAGTTGCTGTGGGTGTTGTTGGTTTGGAACATAAACTCTTTTTCAAGGTTAATAAAACCATCCATAGAGCCTTAAAATAACATAAAATGTTTTCTTTGATGGTGACCATTTCCTCCTTCACTGCAGATAAAGAATAAATGTACTGTTCGCCTTTTCAAAACTACAGAGATTAAAGTTAACATTTCCTCTCACCCGAGGTGTTAGTGATGCCATGTGTTCTTCGAATCAAATTCAATGAGTCACCATGTTGGTTGGGGCAGAAAGGGAGGAGGGGTAAGAAAGACTGCAGAGTATCCACTCTGTCAGAAGCCAAAAGATCTTATGGCGCTGAAGCAAGCAGTGTCTGCATTGGCGTGTGAGCTGCTGAAAGTGATCATAAAACAGCCTTACTGTCTTCTAACTCACTGGAAAACCTTACCACCGATTCTCATGGCGATCAAAGAAATTAGTATTCTTTTGTACATTGAAATGACATAAAAACCTTCATGCAACACGTGATTGAGGATGTGTGCCAACATTGTCACAAGTTTGCTACTTAAAAACAACAACAGCTCCTTATTTACAATAGAATGAAAGAAAAAATAAAAGATGGGATACAGGAGGAGGATTCATTAGAGCTCCACAGTGGGGCCATTTCAGATAGTTAGTACCCATTTTAGAGGATGCACTGCGGGTGCTGTCGGGCTGCTGCACCATGCATGTTTTGGTTCAATGCGGGGGGAAGGGAGACGCGGGAGGAGGGGTGGCAGAGAGGATCATTCAGCTGAAGCAGAATGCGGTTTAACGTTATGGCGCAATACGTAACGAAGGAGATGGTGTCATGGTGGGATATCGAGGAAGTCCAAAACGTTGCAGCTCCCGATCGACTGCATTCGCACCTGCACATTAAAACTACCTGTGAGCTGCATTCTTATGTAATCCCTCTCCACAGCGATGATTCTAACCGCTTTTCGCTTGTTGCGCACACACAACTACATCCAAACCGCCCTGCCCGTGCGCCTGCAAGAGGCGCTGCGATAGCTTCATGTGAGGGATGACAAAATGGTTGTTAGCAGGTCAATTAGCCGCAGCGGTGATGTCTTCCTTGTAAGATTAGCGAGATGGGTTTCAAGATTCACTGAACAGTCTATTTTTACACAGAGCACCCTTCCACCACCATCACCACCACGCCCACTGTCGAGTAAACGACAGAAAAAAATGCTGCAAACCTTTTAGCATGTAGGTTACAACCACGCACAGCAAACCAGCAAATGTATGGTATCGCATTTCAGCTCGCATACAGCACGTTTCTTCTCACATTTCTAGGTCTGCGCAGCACAGCTGAAAACTATAAAGGAAATGTGCGATATTATTAGCGGCCGATACAAATTAAAATGCTCAATTTGGCAATAGAAACTACAGCGTGAACCTTCAATGTAGGCCTGCAATGAGTCGTTTACTATTAATTAGCAAACCACGGGTCGAACTAAGTTTTAGGTCAGCTCATCCAAAGGCTATTAGTGGAAACACTTTAACGCGTACGGCTAAATGCAGCGATTAGCTGTTTAGCATTACCATTGCTACGCAGGTTGGTGCTAGCTCGTTACTCACCATTGTCCCGTTGACTTTTCAAGCTCTGTTGAGATGAAAAAATGGGTTATTTGCGTTGTTGGATATTAATCACCCACGAGAAGGGCTGCTGTATGTAAGATTTTAAATTATAACGGTCTCTAGACGTCTACGGTTCAGGAAATGCGAGAGGACCGATGCTGCTCCCGTGTTGCCGAGTTGCCCGGAAACCTCAATCCAGCGACGCCAGGTTGTGACGCGGTTTCTCAACAGCTGTATCCCTCCGCCTGTGTCCTACATCTTCATAACTAGTACGTTGCCAGAATTTGAAAGAAAAAGAAAAACTTAAAAGCTACTTATCCATTGTTTGTGTCTGGGTTATTTCTATATAAAAGCAGGTGTTGCTAACTTGCTATTTATTAAAGCTCCCTATTAGGAGGTGCTACTTCCAGAATGTGCAAAAAAGGCTTGAGTCATCCCATCCAGATGTTGTCCTTCCAAGCAGCCAGGCTTTCTAGTAATATTTAAAATGGTTCAGTGCAAAAGTTCTCTAGGCTGCTGAATTTGGCTTTGGACTTCTGCATTTGAATTTAGTTTGGGTTAAAAAGCAGAACAAAGTCATTTATCTCTATGGTCTGAAACTTTTGCAAAGTTATCCAGCAGTCACCATACTTAATTAGTTATATAAAAACTGTACGTTTAACCATTAACATTATCTAAGATGTCCAGATCCACGCCTGCTAGCATGCATGTTACTGACTGTTGTTCCATCAACGTTTTCACCCAACCTACTTTCAGTGCATCTGGTTTTGATGATGTAAAATTGTCTCTGAAAACTAATCCTGAAAAGCTAAACTTCTCATTCACATATGACACAAACACTCATTGCTGCTCGGTAAACAGGAAGTTGAGAACATCTCTCACTGACAGAATGGTTTCCAGAATCACTGTTAGCTCTGATCGATCGATCTTAAATGTCAACTTCTGTAAAAACATTTTATAAATTGTCCTTGGTGTGCAGCTTTTATGGTCTGAGTATGCTGCACAGTAATCTCTGTTAGAAATATCAGGAACATCCATGCATGGAAAGATCAGCTGCTACCATATACATCTCCTCCCTGAAAATGTGTTTCACCTTTATGCTCCAGACAAGAATACCTAAAAAAACATCTGCTTTTCTAAAGATGTTTACATTTGCTAATGGTCAGTGACTCAGTTGACTCTCATTAGAAGCAACTGGTTGGTACATTTGCCTTCCTACTTCCTGAGGAAGCAGTACGTTTTTAACAACAGTTTAGTAAGCAAACACCCTGTACTTCCCTTCTGTTCTGCTGTACATCTATTCTAGCACTCTGACAGAGCCTAACAGATGTTTCTTCCCTCTAAGTAGTTTATTATTGCCACTGTAGTATAACTGCGTCAACCAAAAGCATCTGCCAAATAAATATTTGAACCCAAAATGCATTCTTAATACAAAGTCTTCTGATATATAGGTTTACATATTTAACTCTAGTCATTCAAAAACCCCATCAAGAGTTCACCTAAACTTGCAGAGGGGTCTGAGGTCAGTCAGGTGCAGTACAATAATACTACAGCAGATGGCGCATTTACACACAATTACACAACGTTCATTTGCAAAGTTGAATGCTTTTAGGCATGTTTATGACTTATAAAAATATTTTTCATAAACTTTAAATGGGAAATGTTAAGGTTAATTAGGCCGATTTGACAGCTAATTATTTTCTACAAGGTCATAGTTAATGTACTGCCATGTAAGGCAACAATTAAACATTATTTTGCATGAAAATGTGATCCCAGTTTGTCTGATTCTTCTCAATCCAAACCATAAAATTTCGTTTATGTAAAAATAGATTCAAAGATGTTTCTGGTCATGCATTTAACTTAAATCCACGTAGAAACAAAGAAAAACTAAACAGACGGAACGTAAAAGTGTTTATTTTATTTTAACAAATTTGGGGACAAAGGAAAGTAAAATGAACAGCTGGATTATGATGATTATCCATCACATTTATTAAACAGTAATGAAATATTTTAGAAAACAAGTGCAATGTGTCTAAGAAAAAATGAAGTATTTTAATTTCTTCCACTATTCAGACCATTTGTACAGGATACAAAGCAAATACAAAAACAGAAAAAACTAAGTAATAGTTTTTCATTTGGTTCAGTCACGGAAACACACACACACACACACACACACACACACACACACACACACACACACACACACACACACACACACACACACACACAGGTTTTAGGACCAATTCAGAAACAAGCTTACTGTGTCCCAGTGTTGACAATGTACAAGGATGCTTCCTTCCTTCTCAGTATTTTTGATACAAAAAAGGACGGTTGTTGGGAGGGACCGATACTCTGCTTGAAGGGTTTTAGAACAATCACATGACTCAGACATAACATCATCAACCTTCAGGAAAAAGAGAGCCCAGTGAAAGTTTCAGGTTTCTCTTTAAACAAAAGTAAATGAGATGAAAACGTAACACAGGTGGATCTTTCGATTCAGCCAAAAATGCTAAAATCTGAACCTCAAAGCTTTTTGAAAGAACCAATACAAAAGCAAACAATCACATATCAAAAGTAAATGAAATCACATCCTGACACCTGATCAAAGCCTCTTTCTGCACCCCAATTGGAGTGTGCAGGTCTGACACCTGAAAGTTCAGCACATCGATGTCCGACGCCCCAAACGTGGCCTCAACATCCACCTTCTCATGCATGTGAAACTGAACCTTCTTGTTCGTCATGGTGAGCAGACAACGCAGGAAGCGCTCTCTGAGAGCAGAGCGTGCACGCTGCTCTCTCTGCAGCTCCTTTGCATCTGCCTCTGCAGCAGATGTTGAAATAGATGTGCGGCAAAGAGCAACGAAACGGGGTGAATTGGGGTCAAATCCTCGGCTGTTGGGATCAGGTCCTTTAGGCAGACGAAGGACAGACACTGGTGTTGCCATGGCGACTTTCTGCCAACACCTATGGAGGAAAAACAGGTCAGAAGATAAACAAATGTGAATTTTAGCTTTTTATGATTTTCAAAATTTCTTTCTTAAGTCCTAGATGGTACTGTTCGATGGCCCCTATAAACTTTAATCTGCTTTAATAGATACTAATGATTTTGTCCAATTCTAATTCTCACTGAACCCAATTGAAGCACATTGTCTACTTCTAAACGACAGAAGGTGAAATTTATGACTTAACTGTTAAATCTTGAATCTTCAAACCTTCATTGAACGTAAATAATTTAATATTTTTTCTTAGTCTACACAAACCCTCTTATAATAAAGAAAAAGACTTTTCTAATTGCATGAAACATGTTGTTTTCAAAGCTACTTGTTTTTAAACTAATACTTGGACTCTTCGCCGAGGATTAGTTTATTAAATATAAAAATTTCAAGTAGAATTTGTTCGAATGACTTTCAAAAAAAATTTTATCGCAAAGAAACTTTATTTTTATTTTAATTTCCCATAAATCTTCAGTAGCTGTTTGATGTTTTCATGAACAGCTAAGACGGCTTGTTCAAAGCTAATATTTAAAAGTAACTTTACAGATAAATAACATGTTAAAACATCTAGACAAAACAACCATGACGTGAGATTTTCCTCAACCTAATATTATCACAACAATGACTATAAATAAACGTTCGACAAAAGTAGTAAATTTAATTATTGTTTTTACTCACTAGCGGGTAACTCCTGTTCGTAGCATTAGCATTAGCATGAGACGCACGACTTCTTCGTTGATTTTATAATTAGCGACTCTTTGCTGCCATCTAGCGGCTAACATAAACAGTAAAACCTGTTACAGTTTTTCTCAGTTGCTTTGGTGCATTTCTCACTACAGAATTGACCTCTGCACCACTATTAAGGCTTTTCTCAGAACAATTAGTGCAAACTGCAAAACATGGTGGATAACTTGCAAAAGTGAGTCATTTCATCAAAAAGAAAAGTCAGTTGTTCAAAAGCAAGTAAGTTGCTCAAAACAGATAATATATTCATCAAACGCAAGTACTTTATATCAATCAAAGTGTCAGGGCTGTAAAAATTACAAGTCATTACACCAGCACCTTTGGTCACAAAATCAAATGGTTTGAACATGTTCTCATTGTGACGGATTTCTTTGTAGGTGCTTCCCAATGACATGTCAAGTCTGGACAGCATGCATGGCATGTTGAAAACCATAAATTGTAAAGAAAAATCAAGACACTTCATATGCACTCTTGATACTATTTAATTGAAACTGTTCACAGCATTGTGCAACTGGGGAAATGCAGTAAAACAAACATTTTAAAGTGAACATAAACTCACTTAGACAGTAAACCTTACTGCAGTAGTTATGAAACAAACAAAAAAAAACTGAACAGACACTGCTGCATATCAATCATTGATATCTAGACGTTCCCATCTGTCTGCCCACACATTTTCATCCACATCACAGGGAATGTCAGCTCTATCGATGCATTGGGGAAAGTATCTTCTGGAGTGTCGAATCTCTGCAGAACTCTGCTGTGATGTCATCACAAGCTGCATCCACAGCTGCTAGCAGGGCCATTTGGGTATGTGGATGCCTGTCATATACCTTCCACCTCCAGGAAGAGAAACTCCTCAATTGGATTTAGGAATGGAGTGTAAGGAGGAAGAAACTACATAAGCATCCTGGCGTGTGCTGCAAACCACTGCCTGACTACAGCAGAGTGATGGAAGCTAACATTATCCCAAACCAGTACATACATTGTCCGATTGTCACCAGGACACACACCGATTTTCATTAGTGTGAGATAAGGTTCACCTGAGAAAAGTCATTTATGGAGATTTCCATGGAAACTCCTTAAAAATAGGGTTTTCAAAATGGGTGTACAAATTGTTTGACAAGATGTTCAACAATTTTGAGTGCAATGACACAAGCAATGAAATGAAGACTATTAGTTGTAAGGACAATGACAATTCAGCCAGTACAAGTATAAATAATTGTGACATTCATGATAAAAGCAAGGAGATAGTGATGAATAGCAAGTCAAAAGTGACCATTCTTTAGATATTTGTACTTACTCAACTGCTTCATGTCATGTTTGCCTTCTCTCTCTCTCTCTGTGTGTGTGTGTGTGTGTGTGTGTGTGTGTGAAGAAGGAGAAAATATCATTTCTATAGCTCCTCTCAAGATAAAAATCACGAGGCGCTTCACAAAAACAAAAAATATAAAAAAAGAATTTAGAAAATGGTTAAAATAAATTTAAAACGAGCAAAAAATAGACAGTTGTGATTAAAAAATGTAAAGAAAGAGAGAGAGTGAGTAGGAAAGAGGGAAATCAGTGAATCCCGAGGAAGGTGGAATAGGTGTGTGTGTGTGTGTGTGTGTGCCTCTATGCTTATCTGATCTAAAGTGTTTTTCCTTTAAATTGTCTGTAATCCACAGTAAAGTAACACACAAACACATATCCATCTACATCTACATCGAGGTGCTGTGTGTTCATGCAGTTTGGTTTCTAACTGGATTCCCGAGTGTTTGTCCAGCAGAGGGCAGTACATGAAAAGCTTTAACAGGAAGCAACATTTTTCATGTAATCAATTTTCCACATTTTTGCTCTGATTCTTTTGAATTATCAAGATGCACCAGAGTACACGATGATGTCATATTCATGATAATCACCTGTGTTCTCCAGGCAAGCCAGTAAAAGTCATTCTGTGGCCTCCTGTAATGGCACACCTTGCAGTCCTGAAAAAGAAACTAGTTGTGGTGGAAAAAATATAACGGGTAATGTATCAAAGCAGCAAACAGGAAAAGTACTTATGATGGGGTAAAATAGGGGACAACAGAGCTCCTGAATGAGCAAATTCTATTCTATTCAGTTAATTTATTCTATAGCAGGCAATACTCGTCTCAAGGCACTTCACAAGTAAGTAAGTACATTTTATTTATATAGCACTTATTACAGACATAGAATCACAAAGTGCTTCACACAGATCAAAACAAAGTAAATATTCCAACTGAGTTCAGTTCATTATGCCCATTAGTTAAAAGTTTCCTATGTGAGGAAACCCAGCAGACTGCATTGAGTTCCTGACTTGTGTCGTTCAAAACATTTGATTTGTTTGTTACTGTCACATCGCTAAGTCAGTCAGAACTACAGGCACTACCATGGGCAAGATCAATGAGCTATCAAAATACACCAGAGAAAGTGTGGACCTTAACAAGACTTGAAAGGGTGATGGGGCAGTCGTCAAGCATCTTTGTGGAAACAGATCAACTGTTGAAGCAATTATTGAACAAAGAAAGAGGAAAAGTCTCCCTTGGACAGGGCTCCATGCAAGATCTTACCTGGTGGAGTATCTTTGTTGCAAAGACAGATGAGGAATCAGCCTAAAACTATATGTCTGGAGCTGGTCAGTGACGTAAAGAGAGCTTGGACCACAGTTTCAAAGGTCACTGTTGGTTGAACACGCCAATTATGGTTTAACCCTCTGGAGGCAGGCGCTGCAGATTTGCAACGTTAAAATGTACCTACCTGGTTACTCCACTTACGTATTTCATGAGCATTTTTTAACTGAGAAGTGCCCCTGAAGGACTTAGTTGTTCGTCCTTTTATCAAAACTTATTTTGAGCCTGAGAGGGTTAAAATCATGCATTACTTGGAAGGTTCCCATGCTCAAGTCATCATATGTCCAAGTCTGTCTGGAGTTTGCCAGTGACCACCTGGATGATCCAGAGGAGGCACAGGAGAAGGTCATGTGGTCAGATGTGACCAAAATATAACTTTGTGGTCTAAACTCCACTTGCTGTGTTTGGAGGAAAGAGAAGGAAAAGTTGTATTCCAAGAATGCCATCCCCATTGTGAATCACGGGGGTGGAAACACCATGCTTTGGGGGTGATTTTCTGCCAAAGGGACAAGACAACTGCACTGTATTAAGGAGAAGATGAATGAAGCCATCATGCATTGTAAGATTTTGAGAAACAACTTCCTTCCCTCAGCCAGAGCATTGAAGATAGGTCGTGGCTGGGTCTTCTAACATAACAATAACCCGAAGCACACAGCCAGGATAACCATGGAGTGGCTCCTTAATAAGCCTATCAAGGTTCTGTCTCCACACCTAAGTCCAATAGAAATTTTTTGGAGGGAGGTGTGTGAACCTGGTCAAGACCTACAGGAAATGTTTGACCTCTGTAATTGCAAAGGCTTCTGTAGCAAATAACAACACAGCTTTTCTCAGGTGTTCAAACACTTTTGTAGAAGTGGAATACAAATAAAATCTAAAATCCAAGTTTAAAATCTAAAATTATACAATGTGATTTCCTGATGTTTTTAAACATTGCCTGCACCTACAATGTGAATTTCAGACCCCTCCACGATTTATCTTATTGCTTATTTTAATTTATTTAACCAGATGGGATCTTTTGAGTACTCAGAAGCAGGCACATTGATCAGAAACTATTGATTACAATGAGTTATTGAAGGTAGATAACGGAATGTTTAGTCGTTTTTGCTGCTCATTCCAGTCATTGGAAGCAGCAAACTGGAATGAAGAGCGGCCAAAGGAGGTGCGAACTTTGGGAACAACCATAGAGATTAAGTTACTGAATATAAATTACGTTGGTTGTTGGAAGTGATGAGTAATGAGTGAAGATTCTACCGATGATTGTTTTGTATATAAATTGATACCAATGTAACATCCTGCAGGAATGGAGTGATGGCCACTTGATGAGTGAGTACAGATCATAATGATGAGTAGTGAAAGAGGCACCAGTGACGAAACAGATTTCTGAGTGATAAATGATATCGAGTTTGTGAAGAAGATTTTTGGAAGAAAATGATGTCACCATTATCTAAGGCTACGTTTACACCAGTGGCGGCTGGCCAGTAGAGGGCGATAGGGCGCCGCCCTCCCAGTTTTCCCCAGTGTTTTTAATTTTTATTAAAAAATAAATAAATAAAATTAACAATAATCACATATTCTAAGTTAATTGTGGGTTTTGTAACAAAAACAAATCATATATTTATATATCTATATTGATGAGAAGCTCTCTGCCGAGCGGTGGAGGCGAAAGAAAGGCTGTAGGCTGTTTTTGAATCGCCCAAACTGCACGGAACCCGCCGACCAATTGCTGACAAGAAAATCAAACGGGAGGAATGGGAATGTATCCAATCAGCGTCGACGTTGTTTCAGAAGCATGATGGGCGATAGAGCTACCGCCAAAGGCTTTCGTTGGTTCGGTAGAACTCGGCAGAACTCGGCAGAGTCGTTTTTGGTCGTGATGCAGATGTAACATGGACGCCGCCAGTGAGATACCGGATCTCAGCAGCCACTGAATTCAGTTCGGTCTCTTCTCCAGTATCCGTTCGAGAGGAGAACTATGGTGGAAAAACTTAATGTCAAAGAGCTTGGACCAGATCAGCCCGACGTAAAGATAAGCCAGCAGGACAAGGAGAGAGGTAAACTGTACACACGAAGCTTCTCCCGAAATTGGTACACCAGGAAGGCTTGGCTAGCTGGATGCAATCACGCTAATGCGTTATTTTGCTTTCCGTGTTTGTTATTCAAAATGACTGGGACAGATAAGGCATGGATTAAGTCAGGAGTTACGGACATGAAACATTTTTCTGAGAAGGTGAAGAAACATGAGTTATCCCGGGTACACATGGACAACACGGTGAAGCTAGCTATGCTAGGCAGAGCTAACATTGCCATGCAGCTAGAGACGAGGGGCACAGGCTTGCAGTGAAGAAACACAATGAAGAAGTGGATCAGAACCGGCACATTTTGTCCAAGAGAGAGATGTCAACACAGTG